TGCTTGCTTGCCTGCGCTCTCTCTCCCCCCCTTCTCTCCTGCCTTGTATGCCACATGCACCACCGCACCGGTCGAAAATGGGCCCCCCCTCCGGGCGTGTTTGCGGCCGCCGCCTTTGCGGCCGCGCGCCAGGTGCCCCCGGTGTCACTAGTGCCTCGCTTGCACTGCCCAGCGGCTCGCACCCCCGCCGGTCACGTCGGCCCGCGGTGGGTTCTATCGCATATTTTTTCTGGAGGTTTTTTCGCGAGTCGCCTACAGCCCCGGCAAGCACGTGCCGGCCGGGGGGCGTGGCGCGCGCCCCGCACGGCGCGCGCCCGCTGCCGAGCGGCCAAACTCGGCGCCCGCCGTCCGCACCGGCCCCTTGCAGGGGCCGTGCGACGCGGGGATTAGTGCGCTATCATTGCGCGTGGGTTTTGTTGTGGTGTTGCCATCCGCGCCTCGCAGGCGCCGGTGGCGTTGACCGCCTGCCATGCGGCGGTTGACTGCTCGTTTTCCTTGACCCTGGTTGGAACACGGTGGCTGCAGGATCCTGCGATGCCGCAGGCGGAGTAACAAATCATCATCATCTGCGCGCGCTGCCAGCGCCGGCGGAGCACGCCGAGGGGCCACACGACCGGGCTATGGTCAGCGCGTGCGTGCGCGCGCAGTCGCTCTTTGAGTCCAGGCTGCGCGAGTACTGCGCGCTGGGCCTCGGCACCGCGTGGGCTGCCCAGGTCCCCGAGGACCACCCCTTTCTACGCTGGAGCGCGGCGGAGGAGCGGCTGGAGGCGGCGATTCTTCTTTGAGGCGGCGGCGGCGGCGGTCTTTAGATGTGCGAACTGCTGGCGGCGCAAGGCATTGCGCGCGCGCGCGCGCCTCGGCTGCGCGCGCGCGCGCAGACGAGCCGGCGCTGCTTCTGATTGGCGGCAGCACCGCGGCCCCGGGGCGGCTGCCGCTGGGGCGCGATTTGGAGCGGCGCGTTTTCGGTTAGTGCGCGGCGCGCGGCGCCGCTGCGGATAAGGGGCGCGCCAAAAACCCGCGCTAATGGGCCCCCCGCAGCCGCGCCGCGCGCTGCCTCAGCGTTGCCACCGCCCAAGCCCCGCGGCGCAGCCATGCGTCGGCTGCGGGACTGCGCGCTTGTGTAAACCTGCATTGTGCGTGCGCGCGTTTGTACTGCTGCTTGCTTGCCTGCGCTCTCTCTCCCCCC